GGCTACTTCCTCACCAATGGCCTTACGCCTCTCCTCATTAAACCGCCGAAGAAACTGTCTGACCGGCTTAAATTTTGGATCAATATTGAGAGTGTGCTCAGTGAGTTCTCTTGGTACACCCGGCATGTCAGAAGGTTTCCATGCAAAGATGTCCCGGTTCTCACAGATGAACTCGATGAGCGCGCTTTCCTATTTAGGATCCAGGTTAGCACTGATACTGAACTGCTTAGATGAGTTGCCTGTAACAAAATCAACAAGGTTGGTGTCATTGACCGACTTAAACTTCATCACCGGCTCATGTTCTGTGGTCTCTGGTAGGCTTCTTCAAAGACGTCATGTCCGCCGGGTCAACGTTGTCCTTGTAAAACTTCAACTCCTCTGTTGCACAAACAGATTCAGCGTAAGCAGCATCGCCTTCCTCACATTCCAAGGCTATCTTCCGAGTCCCATGCACTGTGATCTGGCATCTTGAGCTGCAGATAAACATAACACGGTCGTGCCATGAACTTGGCATAAGCCGGCCATCCAAACAGGGCGTGATACGGGCTCTTGATTTTAACCACCTCAAAAGTTAACTTCTCAGCCCTAGATTCATGCTCATCTCCAAATGTCACTTCCAGTTCAATCTTACCCACTGGGTACGCCGACTTACCAGGCACCACTCCATGGAAAACAATGTTGGACGTCTTAAGATTTTTATCAGTCAACCCCATGCGACGGAAAGTCTCATAATAGAGGATGTCGATGTTGCTGCCTCCATCCATGAGCACCTTAGTGAATTTATATCCACCAATCTGACGTGCCACCATCAAGGCCAAGTGACCCGGATTGTCGACCCAGGGAGGGTGATCTTCCCTACTCCATAGAATAGGCTGCTCAGACCATCTCAAATAATGAGGAACTGACGGTTCAACAGCGTTCACAGCCCTCTTATGAAGTTTCTGGTCCCGTTTGCACAAACTGGTGGTAAACACATGATATTGTCCACCATTCAGCTGCTTTGGATTACTCCTACTCCCGGTGGGAGTAGGACTCCCCCCTTTGCGCGCCCTCCTCCTGGTCGGCCGCCTCCCCCCTAGCTCCTTTATATACGTGGGTGGGGGGCACCCCAAGACAAACAAGTTGATCATTAATCTTTAGCCATGTGTGGTGCCCCCCTCCACCATAATCCACCTCGGTCATATCGTAGCGGTGCTTAGGTGAAGCCCTGCATCGGTAGCTTCATCAACACCGTCATCACGCCGTCGTGATGATGGAACCCTCCCTCGAAGCTCTACTGGATCACGAGTTCCTGGGACGTCACCGAGCTGAACGTGTGCAGATCGCGGAGGTGCCATACGTTCGGTACTAGGATCGGTCGATCGTGAAGACGTACGACTACATCAACCGCGTTGTCATAACGCTTCCGCTTACGGTCTACGAGGGTACGTGGACGACACTCTTCCCTCTCGTTGCTATGCATCACCATGATCTTGCGTGTGCGTAGGAATTTTTTTGAAATTACTACGTTCCCCAACACATACAACTTCTACTCGTTATCATGATAACAAGTCATTTCATCATCATCATAGTCATCTAACCAACCCTAATTAATTGTTCTTAGCACATGATCAGGAGTATTAGCTAGGATATAACTACCCTCTCTAAGGTAGAATAGCATAAAACAAGATAGGCCCTAACTCTCCATTATGGAGAATGGAGATTATCATTTCTCTAATTCTTGCGCTTCGCACAATGTTGCTTCCAAGTAGCTCCCTATGATTGACCATACATTTTTTCCAATATTTGATTGTCATATCTTCATCGGTTTTAGAAATCCAGTATGGACAACAGTGAGGCCTATTAGGATGACCTGACCGTAAGCTCATAACATCAAGGCGGACCTTTCGGAAACATCAGATGAGGCACACAATCCTTTGGGATAACATCAAGGCGGACCTTTCGGAAACATCAGATGAGGCACACAATCCTTCAGGATTTTCTGTTGAAAAACATAGTAATAACTTCGTAGTTAGCAATGTAGTTCAGTTTTGAAGAATTTATGCAAAAGATGCACGGACGTCGTAATAGTAAAAAAATTCCATGCGATCTCCATGGATGTTATCGTAGTTTAACACGTGCAGTAGTGGCACGTATTGACCATAATGTGCGGGAGTTTGATAATAGATATTGTAATTCTCAAGATCACTAATAAATGAGATAAGATGATCTTTCTCCTGATAAGTTAATTCTGCGTCATCAGTGTAGTACGTTCTGTCTACCATCTTCCGTATATTTTTTGAAGAATAAAAATAAGTTGTTAATGGAAATAAGTTGTCAACTATTTTAAAATAAACAATATTAAAAGAACACATGCATTAGAAAAGAAATATGGTACCTTAGTACTTTTGTTCTTCTCTAGTGAGCAGGAGTCCTAGCATCTTCCTCCTGCGCATTTGTTGAAACAATCCTTTCATCGTTGAAACTTCGGCAAAGCTAATAATACATGAGAACATGGCATGCGTGCCATCAGCACAAGCAGGATGTTGTCTTAGTAAGCATACATTTGTACATATAGTGTGCTAAAAATTGAAACCAGATTTTCATGCAAAATATGTTTCCAAAGCATTCCTTTAATACTTTTAGTTCCTTATTTTGTTGCCCCTTGTTTCCATCTCTTCCAAATACAAAGATAGCAAGGAAGCCAATGCAAAACTAGGCCAAAGCATGAAAAGTGATGCCACATCTGGCATCGCAGTCTAGTGAGCCTCTGTTAGCACTTGATAAAATCAATTAGCAATAGCAACAATAACAGTGCACATGTATTAGCACTTAATATATAATCCCAACAAGAGGATCTGTTGTTGTAGAAGATGCAATGCACATTTGTCCAGCTTAAAATATTTCTAAAATCAAATCACCAAAGAAGTACCTGTTTGTCTCACTTTATATTCTCAGAAGCTGAGACGGCTGGCTAGGATCAAGGAGCAGCAATGCAAGTGTCCCTCGCAGGTCATGTTTAACACTGAAGCAAAACAAATTTGCATTGGTGTAAAACTACAACTATTAGCTCCTTCACCTTGTCAGACAGTCCCTTCAATCCAAGAATATACAACATCTAGAAGAAATAAAACCAATGACATAATTAGTAAACAATTTCAGCGACAAAAGGATAAACAAATTGGATTTTTAAAACAAAACCTGCACCTGCACAAGTATATGTTATATTAACAAAAGTGCAGATCTCGTCCCACTCTTCACTTTTTGACAAAAAACTTCCGAATAGCAATCTTGGTGAGTGATCTCGACCGGGTTCGATCGGCATGGCGTGTCGTTCCTCTAGGAGTGGGTGCTGGGAGGAAGGATGGCAAACCTCCATTGTCCATAGGCCGGAGCTGCATCGTCATTTGGATCAGAGCATGGACGAAATCGAGATGGTAGAGGTTGAGGAATTTGTAGGACGTGAGGGTTTAGGGTGGGCATCACGAGAACTCACCCATATCTTGGGAGACGGCAGACCCGAGGTGCAGTCGTGTTCGTGCTTCAGGGGCTGCCACGTGCTGTCCTCGCCGTCATCGCCTGTCGATGCCACTTCAGCGCCACGAGCATGGGACTGAGGGACGAAGGGAAGAGAAGGGAAGGAAGCGAGCTAATGACGTACCTATGTTTGGTATGTAATACCCTCCATTAAGAGTAGATATTTTCTTAAAATCGGTTATTTTGTTTCCTAATTAATGTGATTGAGCAAATTAAGGTAAGGTTAATTAATTTAGATTTGATATTTAGAGATTGATCGTGATTGATTCTTTCACATAAAGACATTACTAAAAATAACTTGCACCAGCATGGAAAGTTATGATCCGTTAAGATTTTTTTTCTTTGTGTGAGTGGGTGACGCGAAACTAAACCGGTGGGGTTGGGGAGGGACGAAAAAAACCAGCGAAATAAAACGGTTGAAAGTGGTGGGACGAAAATAAACCGTACGGCTACCAACTGCTCCATTAGGAGTAGAGATAACGACGGAAGTTTGGGCGTGTGCGGGACTCGATCGCGGGGTTTTTCTTGGTTTTTCACGGCTGAGGGGGAGGTGGGAGGAAGTACCAAAGAAGTACTAAAAAAGACCGGATGAGATGGGACGAAAATAAAACCCGGAATGTGACCTACCAACTGAGACATTAGAAGTAGAGATTCCAGGTTTTTCCGTTGTAGGACATTTAGATCGCATCCGATTTTAGAAACGAGACGATTATTTCCGGATTCATTCCTTGCATGGCACTGAAGGAGAGTCAATCAATCTAGACCCATTTGCATCCCGGGTTTTGAAAAGAGGGGTTGCGTCCAGATTCCATCCCTCTGGGAGAGATTTGCCGCATTTGCTCATAACACTTGTAAAGAGCAAGTCTATTTCATAAGAATGTATCCGATTTTAGGAAAGAGAGGATTGCTTTCGGATTCATTCCTTGCATGGCACTGAAGAAGAGTAAAAATCAATGTAATCCCATTTGCGTTCCGATTTTTGATGGAGGGGATTGCGTCCGGATTCCATCCCTGATTTGCCGCATTTGCTCACGACACTCGTAAAGAGCAAATCAATTTCATAAGATTGCATACGATTTTAGGAAAGAGAGGATTGCTTCCGAATTCTTTCCTTCCTTTGCAGTATCCGGATTGAACGGCGAATTGACCATTTGACTCGTGTCGCGCGCACTCGACCTCGCATCTATAGCCACGAGCCACCAACCTTCCTAGCAGCGCCCGTAGGCCCGCGACCAGGACTCATCCAACGCCCACCCCGCCACGCCGCTTCCCGGATCCACCTATATATATCCCGCACCAACCAGGAACTCCATTCACCAAGCAGCAAAGCAAGCCAGCTAATTACTACTAGCTCCTCCGCCTCTTCTTCTAGCTCTCCGGCAACAAAGCTAGCTAGCTAGCTCAACTTCATTAAGCCAATCCTGCTCTCCGCCTCCCAACCTTCTTTGCTCCTAATCAAGGGTTAAACTACCTACCTAACAGGAATGGGCAGCTTGGGCACCAACCCCATGTCCTTCTCCGCCATCTCCGACGACAAGGCAGCATTCGAGCCGCTTAACCCCGAAGATGTCCGTGCATACCTTCACAAGGCCGTCGACTTCATCTCCGACTACTACACCAACATCGAGTCCATGCCCGTTCTTCCAAACGTGAAGCCGGGATACCTGCAAGACGAGCTCAGCGCGTCCCCGCCAACTTACTCCGCACCGTTTGATGTCACCATGAAGGAGCTCAGGACCTCTGTCGTCCCCGGCATGACGCATTGGGCTAGCCCCAACTTCTTTGCCTTCTTCCCCTCCACCAACAGCGCCGCTGCGATCGCTGGCGACCTCATCGCCTCGGCCATGAACACCGTCGGATTCACGTGGCAGGCTTCGCCTGCAGCGACCGAGATGGAGGTCCTCGCTCTCGACTGGCTTGCACAGCTCCTGCGCCTACCCACCACCTTCATGAATCGCACTAGCACTGCCCGTGGCACCGGTGGTGGCGTCATCCTCGGCACGACGAGCGAGGCAATGCTCGTCACGCTAGTCACCGCCCGTGATGCAGCGCTGCGTCGAAGTGGCTCGGTCGGCGTGTCTGACATCCCACGGTTGGCTGTGTACGCTGCCGACCAGACCCACTCCACGTTCTTCAAGGCTTGTCGCCTCGCAGGCTTCGACCCCGCCAACATCCGGTCCATCCCTACCGGGCCGGAAACCAACTATGGGCTCGACCCGGCAAAGCTTCTCGAGGTTATGCAAGCTGATGCTGACGCCGGTCTCATGCCAACATATGTCTGCGCGACCGTGGGCACCACATCTTCCAACGCCGTTGACCCGGTGGGTGCCATCGCGGACGTGGCCTCCATGTTCAATGCATGGGTCCACGTGGATGCTGCCTATGCTGGCAGCGCATGTATCTGCCCGGAGTTCCGCCACCATCTCGACGGGGTCGAGCTAGTGGACTCCATTAGCATGAGCCCACACAAATGGCTTCTCACATGCCTCGATTGCACATGTCTCTACGTCCGTGATGCTCACCGATTGAGCGACTCGTTGGAGACCAACCCAGAGTACCTCAAGAACGATGCTACTGATTCTGGCGAGGTCACCGATCTTAAGGACATGCAGGTTGGCGTCGGTCGGCGCTTCCGTGGGCTCAAGCTTTGGATGGTCATGCGCACCTATGGTACCGCAAAGCTCCAAGAGCACATCCGTAGTGACGTTGCCATGGCCAAGATGTTTGAAGATTTCGTCCGTGACGACGATAGGTTTGAGGTGGTCGTACCAAGGAATTTTGCTCTTGTGTGCTTTAGGATCAAGGCAAGTGGAGCCATGACGGAGGAGGATGCCGACGAGGCCAATCGCTTGCTAATGGAGAATCTCAACAAGACTGGCAAGGCTTATCTTGCCCACACGGTGGTCGGTGACAAATTTGTGCTCCGTTTCGCCGTTGGATCGTCGCTGCAGGAGGAGAGGCATGTGAGAAGTGCATGGGACCTCATCAAGAAGACCACGAGCAGTATCATGGATTAAGTCCTAAACAAATTCCTATATTTAGGGTACAATTATTCTTTTACATTTCTTGTTTTTTTATTCTCCTTTGATTAGGATTATTATTTATTTGGACATGTGGTTCTTATTCCTTTTTTAGTTTATATATACCGACCAAGGGTCTATATATACTAGAAGAACACCCGTGCGTTGCAACGGGGCCACATTAACTTTAAGAGTTCAATATCAATTATGTTAATATTACATTTAATATTCTCATACATATCAAGTGACATTGACGACCTTTTTACCATCAAATTCTCACACACACACTCTCCCTCCCTCCTCCTCACTCTCTCTCCCCCTCTCCCTCTCTCTCTCTCTCTAACACACACACATATCCATCTTATTGGGTACGGGACCATAATCCATCTATTTCACACGCACACGCGCTAGTGCATAACAATATGGATTATAAAACAGGTTCAAGGTAGTAACAAGGATTCTTCTCATGCATTAATAAACAAATGTTCTGCACTAAAGACAAGATAACCAATTCCCAAAGTGCATCAGAGCATCACAGAACATTACTGGCAAGATAAATGCACGACGATACACCCGACTCATTTAATTAATATAATTAAATTATCAGTAAATTAGTCACCAAATTGCTCGGATGAACCGGAACAGAGCCAACATATATCATCCTAGACAAACGCAACATCAACCATTTACCTTGGTACTTTAGGGACCGACAGGAGGATGCATGTAGAAGCGCTTCTTGCGTGCGAATCCACAGTCAGAGAGAGAAATTGGAACCCATTCCCATCACCAACTGATAAAGAAAGCATGTCAGAAAATTGATATCGGGCCAACTTGGATCTTCGGTGATTGTCCGCCGGTATGGAGAATTTAGGAGGGTGGGTGCAGGGAGTGGCCTTGTGGATGATGGATGGAGGCGCGGAGGGATGTGGTCACCGGAAGGTCGAAAGCGGAGAGGGTCGGGCACGTTAGGTGGAGCCAGTGGTGCGCGACAACCGGAGGCGGCCCAATCGTGGGCGGCGAACCGACGATAGCCTCGGCCCATCTCTCGACGCAGCGAAGATAGAGAGGGCGGCACTGCCGGTGCTCGAGGCCGCCGCTCGGCACCATCTACATCGAGGGGAAAGAGAGGCGAGAAAGTGATAGGGTGATGCGGGGCTAGGGATTGCGGAGGAGGGTGGGGGTGTGCGATTTGAATGGATGGTTCTGCCCACCGTTTTCTTGTACGTGGTGGTGGAGATGGCGGCGTCCAGCCATGCAAGCGAGGCATGGGTCGAGCCGGGAACGCGGCGAGGCGCAGTAGCAGAGGCGGGGGCGATTTTTTGCTACTGAGATGTAGGGTGTGGGATTGATCGTTCATGTTCTCTTTTCCTTTTTAATGGGAGATGGATGCGATTTTTTCATGAGGGGTGAGATGCGACCACGTACAGATTCCATAATAAATTAATTAGGTCCATAACGGGATTTCTTTACAATGCGTTAAGATTTACGTGTTAGTTTTCTTAATAAAGAAATGCACTGATGTAGGGATCGACTGATTCGGATAAGGAAAGATAGATTCGTGATCTTTTGTATGTTAGGAAATTAGTGGTTTGCAAGAAAAGAGTGGAGAGAAAAAGAACCAATGCGACCACGTATAGATTCCATAATAAATTAATTAGGTCCATAACGGGATTTGTTTGCAATGCGTTAAGATTTACGTGTTAGTTTTCTTAATAAAGAAATGCACTGATGTAGGGCGCGATTGGTTCGGGTAAGGAAAGATAGATTCGTGATCTTTTGTATGTTAGGAAATTATTGGTTTGCAAGGAAAGAGTGGAGAGAAAAAGAACCAGTACGAGGGGGTGGTGGGAGGTGGGACGAATAAAAACCGGACGAAATTGGGAGGTGGGAGGGGGCGAGTAAAAACCGACAAAAAAACCAACAAAATTGGGAGGTGGGAGAGAGGATGAAAAAAAACCAGGGAAGGTGGGAGGAGGACAAAAATAAACCGTACGAGGCTACCAACTGCTCCATTAGGAGTAGAGATTGTTTGTGAAAATAACATGCGACGACGACTTAGCGAGCGGATCCCCTTAAAAAAGACATAGCAAGAAGATTTCCTTAAAACTGGTAGAAATGGATACGATTGATGACATTGATAAATAGTGGTGAATGTTGGCATAATTTACTATCATCATGCATGAAAACGAATCATCAAGAAAAAGAATACTTCCTATTACTACACTCATAGGAAGCTTCCTAATCTTTGCTACCAAACAGTTTCTGCCCAAACAAGGAAGGAAAGTTATGGACGTGATTCGAAAGGAAACAAACGTTATGAAGATTAATTAATTCAGATTTGATCTTTAGAGATTGATTGTGATTGATTCTTTTACATAAAGACATTAATAAATAATTTGCGTCAGTATGGAAAGTTCTGATCCGTTCAGTTTTTTTGTTGTGTGAGAGGGTGAAGTGAAAATAAACCGATGAAGTGGGGGAGGCGACGAAAAAAATCTACGACAGTTAACCTACGAAAAAAACCGGACGAAAGTGGTGGGACGAAAATTGACCGGCGAAGACTACCAACTGCTCCATTAGGAGTAGAGATTGGTTGGTTCGATTTTTTTTGTGTGGAGGGAACTACCTGGGAGGTGGGAGGGAGTACGAAAATAAACCGTCTCGGCTGACCGGGAGGTGGGAGCAAGTACCAAAGAAGTACCAAAAAAGACCGGGTGAGGTGGGACGAAAATAAAACCCGGAACGCGACCTACCAACTGAGACATTAGGAGTAGAGATATTAACAAAAGTGCAGATCCCGTCCCACTCTTCACTTTTTGACAAAAAACTTCCGAATAGCAATCTTGGTGAGTGATCTCTACCGGGTTCGATCGGCATGGCGTGTCGTTCCTCCAGGAGTGGGTGCTGAGAGGAAGGATGGCAAACCTCCATTGTCAATCGGCCGGAGCTGCATCGTCATTTGGATCAGAGCATGGACGAAATCGAGATGGTAGAGGTTGAGGAATTTATAGGACGTGAGGGTTTAGGGTGGGCATCACGAGTGTTGAGTATATTGTGTACGTGTATATGTGTGTGTAGGGCCCACCTCCTCTTTTCCCTGTATAGTTGAGGTTGTGGTCCAACTCTGTACTTATATATACGTGCCTGGTGCACCGATCAATATATCGCGATTGCACAGCCCATAATCCGTCTCTCCACATGGTATCTATCGCAGTAAGGTCCTAACCCTAGCCGCCGCCGCCGCCGCCGCCGCCGCCGCGCGTGCCTCCGCGCCGCCGCCGCCGCCGCCGCCTCCCGCCGCCGCCGTCACCAGCCGCCGCCGCCGCCGCCATC